AATTAGAATTATATAATAGAATAAATATTTAATTTAGATATACATTAAAAATTAATTAAATTTAGATAATCAATATATAGAAGAGATAGTATTTTTATTAAAATGTCTCATCCTTATAAAAGATCAAAAGTTTAGAAACTCAAATTATAAGTAGCAATCAAAATATATTTTAAAAGTAGAATTAGATTGACATTGTCAATGTATTGTCAATCTATTTAACCTATTTCTAAAGTTTATTCTTTTTCATTTTTAAGAACAATAATAATAATAATAATAACAACAACAACAACAACAACAACAACAATAATAATAATAATAATAATAATAATAATAATAATAATGAAGATGATGATGATGATGATGATAATAATAATAATAATACGGAGTAATAATAATAATAATAATAATAATAATAATAATAATAATAATTCTTGATCGGATCTGATTTTAATAAGTCCTGATTGGATCTGATCTGATCTGATTGGATCTGATCTGATCTGATTAGATCTGATCGGATCTGATTGGATCTGATCTGATCTGATTGGATCTGATCTGATTTGATTGGATCTGATCTGATCTGATTCGATCTGATCTGATCTGATTTTAATAAGAATAAGAAAAAATAAGAAAAAATAAGTTGAACGGAACGGGGCCTTAGGCCATTTATCCCCAATAGGATTCTTGAGGGAGTTTGAGGGAGAGTTGTTGGACATCCCCAGTGCATGAAGTTTTAAGACTATATCATACTCCGTATCAACATTCTATTATTTCAGACTTTTTTGAGATTTTTAGAAAAATTATTTCAATTTTGAGACTTTCTAAGATTCTGCCACATTAGCATTCCTTTATCTTTTATTTGATTATTATTATTCCAAAAAATCTATTATGTAATGTTTAATTGTATAACACAATAGATTTTATACAAAATTTATTTATAAATACAACTAAAATGATACTCCGTAGAAAAGTTGAGAAATTTACATGAAAATTACTTTTTATTTATTGAAATGATAGAAAATTACATTTCGTTTATTAAAAATTATTGATATTACATAAAATATTGGAGTACATTTCATTAAAATTACATAAGTAAATACGCAAAAAATATAAATTGTATAAAATAAAATTTAAGACACAACAAAATTTTTGGATTTTAAACGCTCTTAACATTTTTATTATTTAACGTTTCGGTTTTTTTATTACAAAATTAAAAAATAATTGTAATTAAATACATGTATTTGATTTTTATTGGATGGACTCTGTTGAAAGTCTTGTCTCAAAATCAAACTCTTTTCTAGATTTTTTTTAAATCTTTAGTCTACCCCAATGATAAAATTTAGAGTAGAGTGTCATATTTAGATGGGGAGAGGATATCAAAAACATACTTGGGACTTGGGAGTACACAAGAGTGTCATTCAATTTTTTTGGTGTTTCATTCCCATCATCATTATCAGCATGCATCCACATAAGGAGGAAATATTTCGGCCCAAACCTCAGGCCCAATCTATTTATGCAAGAATTGAGGCCTAAGATGCTACAATATTGTCCACGTGAAGAGATATGGGCCGATAGGATTTGGAAGGCGAGCAGACCCAGTAGAGGGTGTTTATGGTATGGGCCAAGAAGACATTAGAAGGCGTTCAGTACGGTATATCATAGTGCACATTCCCCTAAAAAATCTTCAAATTTGACTCGTTTTGTTTATTTTTTAAAAATATTTTTAGTTATTAATATATATAATTTTAAAAGAATGAATGTGATAAAAATTCGATAGAACGAAAAAAATCGTAAAACTAACTCGATTATATTAAATTTACAATGCAAATAAATGTAATGTTTAATTTTTTTATATTTCGTATTCAAATATTTTATTATTCAAAGATTATAATATTTTTCCAAAAAATTTACACTTGGATGGATAGATTTTTCGGGAATGGAGAGAGTGTATACATACATACTCAGCAATTCATATTTAGTACTCCATTTGTTGCGAGTGGTAGGAAGGCCACTCCTCAGATTTTATGGAGCAGTTCACTCAGGTTCGAGCTCCAAGTGCGTCATTAGGTTGAGAATGATATGAACAGATACTAGATTATAATGATATCAATAGCATTAAAAAATACTCTATTTGTCTCATAAAAAGTGTCAATTTAGGTTTGTGATGGGTAGTTAAAGTTAACTTCATTTCAATTTATACAAATTTTAGAATAAAATTAAGAAAATAACAACTATACATTTTTAAAAAATATCTAATAATATACTCTGTATCTAATACGGAGTATTTTATAAAACAAGATATATAGTTTAAACATCTAAATAGTAACATAAACTTTATGTTTCGTGAGAAGAAGTAATTAACTAGTAAAAAAAGAAATTGAAGAAAAAAGTTAAATTTACATAGAGAAAGGCATGATATTTTTAGTGATAGTGGGATGAGATTGAATTGAACACATGTTAATTGACACCTACCAAAAGCGCGGTTGCTTGATCCCCAAGGCTCAATGTACAGTTGGCGCCCCCGGCCCGCTTAAACAAATTTAAAGTAAAAGTAAAGAACCATACATTATACATAGATGAATGCATATATACATATATTTCTTGCCTGGCAACGATGCAATCGCCAGAGCATATATACCAACACTTTCCAAGTTTAGCATATACTTCCTTTCCCAAACCACCAACTTATACTAATATTCCGGCCCGTTCTCAAAAAATCAGGGTCCTGGCAGGACATGAATGTAACATACGTGTTCTTGTGTCATAATGAATTAAAGTTTGTTGATTATGTTTTAACAACAATTAATTTTATAATGAAATTTGGGGTCTCTCTGAAAATGGCCCCGGACCGGGTGTCCACAATGCCTATGCATCAGCCGGCCGCCAGGCCGCCACTGCTCCTAATATTCCCCCTTTTTTTATTTACCATTCCTGACAAGAAAATTAAAGAGACCACAACTAATTGTAAGATTTTTCCGATACTAAGGTAATGCCAAGGCAATGGAAAAATTTGAACTAAGGCTTCATCTGGAAACTAGGAAAGTGACTTGTGAAAAATGACTTCTAGAAATGACGTATTTTCCAGAAGTCGTTTTCTTTTCTGATGTTTGGCTGGAAGTCTGAAACCTGTCTATATCTGCGTGGTTCATTTCTGGAAAATGAGGGTTGGAAATGTGAAAATACTTGTACTCAAAAATGAATGAAAAAAAGAAATCAAACAGTCAAGATCCAAAAATCAAACAAATCATAAACATAATCGAGAACAATTGAAATGCTTCCTCCTAAAAAATTCTGGGGAAAAAAATTCAACATGGAACCGCAAAAATGAATTTTACAAGTCATTTTCTTCCTTTTTAAACAGATCCTGAGTTTCCCGTTATTTACTCCACACATAGTCTAAAGGAAAATGCTAAAGTCACAAATATATAGTTCACAAATTTCACAAATTTACTTTTTGTGGATTTTAAATTAAAATATCTTTTATTATTTAAGTGCATCTTATTTCTGGGAAAGTGTTAAAAAAGTAAGTCTGTGAATTTTGTGAACTATTTATTTGTGACCTAGCATTACTCTAGTCTAACCCCCATCATTCACATAGTCTAACCCTCTTCCTAGACCACTTAATTAGGCGTTTCATTGTCATCGTTGTTGGCCATGTGACTCGGGTCAAATATACAACTTTATTACTCCCTAATTAAATAACTAGATTTGATAGTAATAACAATTTATATTAGGGTACTCCAATTTCAATCCACACCAACTTCTGGATCGCAAACTTTTACGAACATTATTTTATTTGCATGTTTGAAAATACAGTTAAAAATTAATGTTAGCGTTTTAAAAAGACTATTTACGGGTAATATTTTTTAACATTAACTTTTTCAAAATAATCTATATAGTTAAAATTTTATCCAAAACGCTAACGCTATTTTCAAAAAGGTCTTATATCGATGGATATAATATCTAACCATTTTTGTATATATGAATATACTCTTAAAATAGTGCGATAAAATTGTGGTACCCAAATGTAATTTTAGTAACAATGAGAAGAAGAAGAAGAACACTTATTATAATCATATAATAATAACAATTAATAAAAAATACAACTAGGATTGGGCACAAATCACATGGACAACCCAACCATAAATCGTGCTATTTCATGCACCACACCGCCTCTTCACTTCAATTCACACCCCACACATCATCAAATTGCATTTATTTATTTGTTTAATTTTCCAGATTAAATAATTAATGTATATATGGATGATCACAACAAATAATTTAATAAAAATAAAGAGAAAAGAAAACAAAGAGATGTTAATTTGAATGATGGAGAAGCAGCAATGAATGAATGGTTTGAATTGAACAAAGAGAGTTTCTTTCTAAATCAAATGACTACTAATTTCACTCTCTGTACACCGCAGAGGTACTAATTAGGGTTTGCTAATTAATTGTAGATGTTGAAATTAAGCACAGTATCTGTATAGTAGTATGGGGATTATATTGGATGATCGGAATTTGTTTTGGGGGAATTGAAATTGAGGATTCACTGATCGGATTCCCAGTCGATCGGGAATGATAGGCGCGGTTTCTTCGACGGCATGGGACTCTCTGCCTCTTGTTCGCCGGGAAGTTGATTGTTCATCATCGGGCAGTCCACGGTGAGGCCCAGTTGCAATTCGGTCGCCGCCGCAGGAAGTTGGTTCAGATCGAAGTCGAGCGGCGCGTGGCCCGATGCGCCGCCTTGGGAGTTGGTCAACGCGCTTCCGCTGGGTGCGCCGCCGTCGCGGTTTCCGCCTCCGAGATTCCCCTCGTAGTGGCGGCGCTTGTGCCCGCCCAAAGCCTGGCCCGTCGGGTAGGATACGCCGCAGATTTTGCACTCGTGGGCCTTCCCGCTCGGGTTGAGAGCCGCCGCCGCGGCGGAATTCGATGTAGACGGGTTGTTGTCCTCAGATGCGGCGGCGGGAGCGTGCTTGCGGTGGCTTGCCTTGTGGCCTCCAAGCGCCTGATAAGAGTGAAACGCCTTATTACACACCGAGCACTTATAAGACTGCTCTTCCTGGCGTTCCTGCTGCTGCGGCGGCGGCGGAGGAGGAGGCGAAATCAGCACGACCTCCTTCTTCTCCGCCTCCATCTCCTCATCCTTATTACAATCCAAACCTTCAGCCGGCGGGGACGGGATCTCACGGCGGCGACTAGGCTCCTCCTCGCCTTTGGCGAGCATGATCAGACACAGGGCCAAGTACTTCTCCTCCTCGGAGTACGGCAGCGTGGACTCGCAGCGAGGACGCTTGGAGCGCTTCCTCTTGATCAAGCCCTGCGCGTCGGCGCACGGGAGAGACGGCGGCGGCGGCGGCACCACCGCGGCGGATTTCAGAGCCTCCATAGCCATAAATCTCGGAACCAAATTGGCGAAAGTAGTTATAGAGAGAGAAAGAGAACGAGTAAAGCAACGGACAAGTGTGGGTTTGGAGTGTGTGTATGAAAGAGAGAGAGAGAAAGAGGAGTGAGAGATTGGGAAAGATTATATAGCGGAAAATTAGGGAGGGAGAGACTTTGGAAGTTGCGTTAAGTAATGTGGCGGTGGAGAAGGATTATGTATTCTCCACGTATTCTAATTGGGTAATTCTTTTTCTCTTTCTTTCTTTCCTTTTTTTATTTTTACTCGGATAAGATTTTTCCGCGATTTTTTCTGCCGACTTTAATTGCACTCCCACTGATCCCACAATCCCAGTCCTATTGGAAATTGGTAATTACTCCTAATTTCATACACTTATAGGATTTACTCCGCTGCTTTGACTTACTACCGTTTTTATTTGTTCTATTATTATTTTTATTTCTATTATTATTATTAAATAGAAATTCATATTTTTGTTATCGTTTGAAGTTAGAGTACCTCGCATTGAAAGTAAAAAAATGAAGAATATATAAGTTTTCGAGTTAAATTAAATATTTTATTACATTAAATCTCATTATGTCATGTGATTGATCAAGTGTCTTATTACATTAACTCTCACCCCATCCTAAAATTTATCATTTCGTATGTCTTGGTTTTGATGTAGAATTAAATTTTGTTAACGAATAACAATTGTGATAGTAAATTTTGAAAATGTTAATATTTTTTTAATCAGAAAAATGTTAATATTAAAAGTTATACTCCCTCGGTCTCTACATGCAATATATATCGTACACTGGTTGTAGGATATTTTCAAATTGAGTTAAACTCGTAAAATGAGTATTCATTTACTTTAAAATGAATATTCAATTACTCAAAATCAAATAATCAAATGGATGTATGCAAAACATCACACGTCAGAATATATGGTATACGTATTCCCCATCTCATTTGACTTTATATAGTCTCCAATGTAACACATTGAATATAAATTTGTTTATTTATTTATAAAAATAGATTATAAAAACATTACATTTTAAAATAATGTTTTAAAATGAAAATGTTAATTTTAAATTTATATCACAATTCAATGTTTTTTCATATTTTTGGTAAAATAATAAAAACTTTATCTCCAAAAATTAAAATAGAAAGGAAGATATGGAACAATGAGAGTAATTAGGTAATATTTTCAAAATAATAATGAAGCTAAGGACAATTATTGAAAGATTCCTTTTAACTTATGGATTGTTTCCAAATTATAAGAACCACCGATCTGAGAAATAGATAAAGTTTAGTGTCATAAATTATGAATATGGAAAACATAATGCAGTGCAATGCATTCCAGCTAATTAATTTTACGATGAAGTCTATAATAAAATTATTAATGGTCTGATTGGTACACGAATTAACATAATTAGAATTGGATTGGAAATTAATTTTTTTGTGGAGTTGATTGGGATGGAATTGAATTCTCCGACTCTAATTCATTTTAGTCATTAATAATTCAAAATCTACATATTTTTGTGCTACGAAACAACAAAATAATGAATTATTGTCCTTAATTTCAAATTCATAATTTGAATTCTAGATACCAAACGGAGCCTAAGCGTTAATTAATAAACCGATCATATGATAAAAAACAACAAACCCATAAATTTCTACCAAAACCATAATTTGTCACGATCTTTGTATAATAACATTTTGTCAACAAAAACCAATATTTTAAATTTACATTATAACTAAATGTATATTTTTTCATAATTTATAGTAAAAGTATTCTACAGAGTACAATATAATCATAAAAATTACATTATGATATTTTTTGAAACGAAAAAATAATAACAAAATGAATAGAGCTAGGGTAGTAGGGTTATATCAAAATGGTGCACCACATCTCTACGCCTGAGCAACACAGACATTATGTGTCTGTAATCTACAGACAAATAATGTATGTGTTGCTCTGGTATACAAATGGGGTACACATTTTGATATATCCTAGCATGCCCCTTAAAATATATTCTCTTCATCCTAAATTGTTTGCTATATTTCGAAGAACATGCAAAATATCATATCTTTTAAAATTATTTTTTTTATAAATTGATAAATAAAATAAAAATAAAAATTACTTCATACAAAAGTACATTAAAGATTTTATAAATTAAAATGTAGTTAAAATATCTTATTTTATCAAATAATTAATTAAAACAAATAAATAAATAAAAGATATTGAGAAACTAAAATAATAAGGGTGACATTTTTTTGGGAGGGTGGGATTAGAAGTTGATTTGAGAGTGTAGGTGGTAACGCGGTGTGTGAGATCAGTCAATGAAAAGCGTTGGAGAAGAGTTTGGTACGGTAAAGCCTACCGTGGGTATGGTGGTGCCCCAGCAGTTTTGTGGTTGACTGGTCAACTTAAAACTTCTTTATCTTCTTTACTTGTACTGTTACCACTTTCTTTCCTAAATTATCGTTTTAGTTGATTTTTATGACTACTTTAATTTGGTCACAAAATGTAAAAAAAAAAAATTATACTGTCTTTATTTGTAACAAATATATACTTAATTATAATGTAATTTGATATATTTAAGTTAGTTTTAAGATTTGAGTTTGATAGATTAAATTTATTATAAATTTGTGATCAAAATAAGCTCAAAATAAGATAATTTGACTTGCTCTATCTATGCTCCTAGTCAACAAAAGTTTTTGGTCGTCCCCTAGTTTTTTTTCGATCCTTTCCCAAGTACTTATTGGAATTTGAATTTAATTTCTTAATCATTGCCTAATGAGAAATGCTAGAGTCACCAGCACTTCGGTCACAAAATACACAAAATTACCATTTGTGTATTTAAATGTTTAATTTTTAATTATTCATCATCATTTTATTCATTTAATGACCAAAGTGTTTGTGACTCTAGCATTTTCTTGCCTAATTGGAACTGTTATTCCCTTCGTTCACTGTTTTTTGAACGAATTTCCCTCCGTTCACTGTTTTTTGAACAAATTTGACATACACTCAATAAGAAAACATTATAAATAGAAATAAAGCATAAATATAGTAACAAAAAAGGAATTTTATGCTTTTATCACAAAATATAATTTGCATTGTGATAATGTGCTGCTGTATATGGATATTTGAGAATATATTTTGGTATCATATGTTGACATTTGGTAACTGGTATTATATTTTCTACTTCCTCAGCTCCAGTCCTAAAAATCTTTTCTGTTTTGATTTTTTTTGGTTAAGCAATATATGACACCTTTTGACCATAAACTACGAGAATAGTATATATATATATAATTATAATATAAATTCAATACAATTGGGTTGATCTTAGGATATACCCAAGTAGTTTTCATATATCAAAATTTTATATCATTTAATATTTGTGGTCAAGGAGTGTCACACACTGTATAACAAAAAAAGTCAAAATATTTTCCCCCCTATTTAAGTACACTAAATTCGAGTATTTATAATTTATTATGATTAAAGCATTCTAATTTTTTAGTAGCTCTCTTATATATGTTAGTGTAGTATCTGTTCAAACTAACCTCAATCTCTTAAACACATGGTTAGACTCGAATATTGAATGTGGAAGAGTATGAGATGACTTGCCATTCCGCTAACATGCCTCCACATACAATCCAATTGTGCACTACTTCATCCTTCCCAATTTAAATCGGCTTTTTTGTTTTAAAATGTTTGACTAAAGCTATTTTTAGTACAATTTATTAGAGAACTGAATGGAAACTAAAATAAATAAAATTTAGATATTCAAAAACTACATCAAAACATTTACGAAACAAGACATGACATAATTATCTATATTATTTTATCAAATGTGTAAGGAAATACGAAAAAAAAGAATAAAATTTGACCATGCAAATATTAAACACGCAGCTTAATTTGGAACAGGAAGAACATTATCTACTTTGAGATTGCAACCACTTTAGTTCGATGGAGTATTTAGTTTACTTCAATTTAATGATTTTCATCCACCCTTAGAAAATAACCTCTTAATAAAGTGGCATCTAGCTAAATTTAAGATCAAAATAGTCAATTAATCTACGACACATTTTCTTAAAGTTAAACGAGTATATTTATTAGTGATGACTGATGAGTGGAGTGTTGACTATATTATTAAGAGTCTTGTTTAATCTTATAAGTAATTCACCACCACCACTAAGTAGTAGTGTACCCTTTATTGCCGCTCACCAGTAACTTTTATGTAAAAAGTGACATTATATATCTCTCATAGTAAATTCTTTTGCGATTATAAGGTATAGACTTTTGAAAAAAAGATCTATTTGTCAGTCAATGAAAAGTGGGAGAAGATTCATATTTTACATTTGAACCTTAAGACTATAAAATAACAACTCATATCCGTAAGGGTTAGATGACACTAGGAGTAGGGTTGGGCGTAGCGTGTAGGGGAGCTGGTGTGGGGGATTTTGTGAGTGAGAGTTAGTGGAGAAAAAAACAATCATTTTTATGAATAGAGTATTATGAATATATATCTTAAAAACTGCAGAATTAGTACTCATCAGTGGAGGTTAGTGTCAAAAGAAGAGGCCCTTATAAATATAATGTGTTATTAATATGTACACCTCAGTGTGGTGATGGTGGTGGAAATGGGTTGGTGCAGTTTGGAGAGAAGAGAGAAGGTATTATTGTACGTGACTTTGTGAGGAGAAAAGAGACTTTTGAAGTTTATTTTATTTCCATTTAAAAAAAAACAAGAAAAATTAAATGGACGATCCAAAAAAGAAATTTTTTACAAGTTTTTGCACACTTTTTAGTGATTGGTTCACCAATGTTTTGCATGATCTCTTATTTCAATATTTATAGTTCACATTGAACATAAATGATATTTATTTTGCATCAATTTAAGAGAGAGTATTGAGTTAATTATTGTAAATAATGGGCCAATGTTATTTAATTTTGTCCTCCATCCGAAATTGATTACAACTTTTACACGGTCTATTATATTTTTTTTCTATCCATAACTTTTGTTTGCTTATATATATTCTTATTAATAAAATAAATACTTTTGTCACCTCCTATATTTAATTTTTTTACCTCCTATAATTTAGAATTTTCGATATTGTTTTTTGATATGTGTACTTTACTGATTATTCTTTACCAATTCTTAAAAACATTAATTCAAAAAATGTAAAGTTTTATCTCACAAATGAGAAATTGTAATCTAGTTTGAGACTGAAAGAATATATCAATCTAAGTTAATTATTCTAAAAATCATTGTATAAAAAATACTCCCTTCGTCCTAATTTTTATTAGTACATTTTTATTTTTTTCTTTCTATTTATTAATTTTTATTTATTTGTGTATTTTCATTAATTATTTGATAAAATAAAATAGTCTTGTTACTTTTTGTTTTGCAAATTTTTTATATAGTTTTTTAATATGTACGTAGTAATTTTTTATTGATGTACTAATTTATAAATAAAATAATTTTAAAAATCGTAAGAACTTACCTAATTTATAATTAAAATTGAGACAGAGGGAATATTATGGCATGAAATCAAAGTCACTTCTAGAAAAAAATTGTACAATCACAACACCAAATTAAGTACTTGGGCATTTAAGTATGTACTCCGTATAATTAAAAAGTTTAATGAAGTGAGCTCCAAAAGAAGAAGGTAGAGGCTACACGTGATGCACACGTCAGGAACACGTTTTAACTTAGTTGTTGCTTCACATACGGCGATGGTGCACTAAGACCATATTTTTTTCACCGCTTATGAATGTATTTTTATTTAAAATTGTCTCAAATTTGATTTGATCTAATTCTGATAAAAAAAAAAAATAGTACAAATAAGTTGAAGAACACATGATATAATTAACCCTTACCGGCTTCATTGGACAACAAATATAACTTAGATATTAGCATTTAACATTTTGAAAGAATTACTTTTGACGGTAAATGTTCTTCCAAATGAAGGTATCAGGAATTTCTCTCATAGTTTGAGTAGTAAGAAATCATTTCCCGAAATTCTTAAAGAAGTTCACCTAGGGTGAAAGTAGAGGCGTTGACTCTATGAACATAAGTATATTATAATAGGGCCAATATGGTTCAAAAAGATAATGAGAGTTGCGGTAAGAGAGTTAGGAGAATTAAAACAATTTTGATATTGAAAACAAGACGTCATAATTTTCAGAATAAAAATAATTCTAGATAGGACTAAAACATAGAGAAAAATATTAAATATGTCTTTCATGTTTTTTTCTCAAAATAGGACTTTGCACAGTTGTAATGTAGCTGTGCATGTGCACATTACCATATATTTTTTTAGTAATGTACATGACCATGTTTGTTAATGTAAGTCTTATTTATAAAACAAAAACATGAAAATCTTATTTTGGTATATTTTAAATGTTTTAGTCTTACTTTAGTCTTTCTCATAACTTTTTTCTTATAATTTTTTTATCAGATTGGGTCGAAACAATTTTTAATAAAGTGAAATGTTTATCATTTTAAATTCTACATAAGATACTCCGTAATTTCCAAAAAAAAGTTTCTACAAAAGATAAATGATACTAATAACCATTAACTATTTTCCTTATTCGTCCAAAGCTAAGACGGCACGTATGTATGGATGCGTTCCTTATAATCCAGACACGTGGCAAGTGATTAGTCAAGTAAATCCATATGCTAATTGCAGAGGACCGCAAACACGTGGCTGATAAATGAAGGATTTGGATGGTTCCGGATTGTTTGGGACAAGTTAAGTGCACTCTTAAACAATAAGAATAATTTAAACGTGCCACTAAATCTATGCTTTCGTGGGACACTCATGCTTTGCACAGACAAATTTAAATAATAATTATTTGTGTTGCATATTATTAGTGTCATTGTTTGTTTGTGCAAAACACGGATACATTCATAGTAGCATCCATGTGGTGTCACCTTAGCATGAGCCTAAGAAAAAAAGACTTAGAGCAGTGTAATGATTGTGAAAATCGGACCGGATCAGGCGGTCTAATTGACTGGACTGCGACCCAGAGACTGAGAGAAGTATCCAATAAAATTCAATGTTCAGAACTGTTTTAAGAAAAATCAGTCCAAACCCGATAGAACCGGCAAACAGGCTGACCCAGGTTGGCTGGATCGGTCCGCGGCTTTGGATTAAAAGCCTATATAAACCATTTACTTTTATTAATATAATATAATTTTTAGTGAGATTTTGATCTCCTGATTTTCAACTTCCAAGTATAGGTTCGAAGTATCAAAACCGTAAAAACGGATCCGAATAAAATAATTAGAAAAACTGATAAATTGAAATTTGATTTTGAACTTAAGAGAATAAAATGTGTTCATCTTTTGTTACAAATGAATAATTTAAACGAGAAATGTTATAATCTTTGTTTTTTCATAGTTTGCAGTGCTCATCGTTGATCATGATCATCCTTTTCAAATATTACT